CGAGCGTTTTGAGATGCGACAGGTGCACAAAGACATTCTACTTTTCAAGCATTCCACTCATTAATATCATAACAAATGTTGTCGTTCATCATGGAAGAAGTATTATACCGATTGGAGAAACATTCATAAGCGATTAAAGAATTAGAAATTGTAAATGACACGATTGAGATTAAATGACACGACTGATAGTCATTCTACTCATAAGAAAATTATAAATGACAAATTGCCTATGACACGACTGGGCAGTTACTTCATTCACAAAAATTCACTTACGAACCAAAAATTCCTTTATATGCAGCAATTAAAAACTTATCAAAACTTTCCGATGCAACCAAATAATAATAATAATGGATGAATTCAGAAATACTCGCTCATACCACACCAAAACAATGATCTTTTCTGTCGTACCAAAGAGTTCAATCAATTCTTACCGCTCATGAGAGATATTAAAGATTATACAAAATAATTATGACTACTTCAGACTGATTTTTGTTCAGGCCTAGGCGAGCTGCAGATACTCAGAAAATAGGATAAAGAACTGTTTCCATGAGCGAGCCGCCTTTAGATATCCGAGTGAAAAAATACACCATCACAATGGTGTTTCATCATAACAAAACAACACCAAATATTAGTTTCTCTCAGTCAACCCCTTATGTTGATGAGAGATGACGTCAGCCAATGTGTTGAAGAACTTACGAAACATTTGTGACTAAACAGACTTTTGTTTAGGCCCGGACGAGCTAATGATACTCATTGTCAAAAAATAAGAGTCTTTCCATGAGCGAGTCACGTTTACATACCCAAGTGAAAAAACCACCACAGTGGCGTTCTATCATANCCCCCCCCCCCCCACCCCGAAGCCTCTAAATTACCCAAAATGGGTAATTTCACCCCCTATGAGAACTACTGCTAATAATATCCAGCATTTGTGCTACGAATAACGGTGATATCCTATTTTCATACGTAGTTAATAACGCAATAAGTCAATCATTCATGCATTTATTCAGCCAGTCTAAATAAATACAATAGATAAATTCAATTAGTCTTTCATATACCAAACGTGTAATACAGATCATAATTTCATACAAATTAAGAATTCATTGAATGCTTATTTAAACAGATCGAACAAACAGATAAATGATACAGAAAGGTATTTTTAAAAGAGGAATTCGATACAATAGCAATAGAAGGATAATTTTCGATGTGAGTCGTTTGATGGTAAAACCAAATTGCCGTCAAAAATGGAGTGTTTCGGATTTCGTTTTCACATGAGCTAATTTTTTTGCAATCATAGAATGTTTTTAGCAGCAATATTTATTAATGGTATCATTATTGCTGCTTTCATTTCATTTTTACATCAGCAAGATCTATTTTCTGTAATTCAGATGCAAAATGACGCTAAGCTAAAGTGACTCGTGACAAGCATTCAGAACAAACAACGCACATGAGAAGCTCAATATTATGAGCATTACCTACTCGCATTCCTATCATTAACATAGCATCAATGTGTACATGTACATGGATGAATAAAAATAAAAATATACATATACGTGAATGAATAAAGCCTGCAAAAATGTTCACTATAGCGATAGAATATTCTAGGTGTTCTATCAAAAAGTTTCATGTTTCGTACTTCTTGGGTTAGTCAAGAAAAGAAACATACTATGATTTGATTCGCTATTCACTGACGGCTTATCACAGCAGATATCAATGAATCTCATTCAGGTCTAACTCACTTAAATATTGTAGCCAAAGATCGATTAAATAACATATACCTAACCATCACTTCACCCATCCATCCATACATGCAGACATTCACTCATAAATGAATAAGTATTCCTCAGCCAGCTAAACTACGCATTATTATGATAATAAATATTTATTTGCATACACATAATACACCTGACTAGTACGGCTAAATGAATGAAGGTGGTTCGTTAAATATTACACATACGTACATTCGTGTACGTATGCACCATATTTGTTAGAGATTCATTGTTGTGCTATTATTTGGTGTTACACATCAATCAAACTAGCTATATTATCAGTCTCAGCATATGATAAAACCTTCATTTTTATTACTGTTATCGTTACTTATCAGTATTATTGCTATTACTACGAAACTGCTCCGAACCATCACTATCATAAATGTTTTCAACGTTTCCCAGGTTATCAAAATACTCATTATTATTACATTAATAGAAATTTTGATGAAGAAGAAATAATAGAATACCACAACATACCATGGATGTGTTACTTGATTTTAAAAAAATTTGAAAAATAAAGACGACGGGAGGCAAAATGGCGGAGAGAAAATCAACGTTTTAGCGAAACGCTGATGGAGTTTATTTACGATTCTGTTTAAAGCAACCAGTTCATCATCTCGTTCAGTGAATCAACTACATTTACATACTATTTATCGCCCCATGTCATAAAGAGCGTCTTTCGATGACACCGTTCGAACAGCATACCTAATGATAAAAAATTAAGCATAACATGTACATGATTCTACATCTGTTTCACTTACCAAACATTTCGTTTTTATTCACACATGTGTGTAACAGACCAATGCGCATCTACAGTCCAATGTAAGTATACTTTTCACTTAGTCGTTACAACATTGCTGTTGCGATTGTTTGAACTCAAATCGTCTTGTTCCAAATCAAATGTTGTCAAAATCTCAGATGGTAACAGTCAGTCACTGGTGGTAGTTTTATCCAAGGAATAATATCGTTATCATTGGTTTCGTGCGCGAATTTGAGGAAAACAACATGGCCGAACCACTTTTGCAACCTTGAGCTTGCCACCTTCCAACATTTCACGCCACTCAACATCATCTGGTCGTCTGTCAAGGCAACTACTGACTCTCGTGTTTATAGCAAAAAAATGGGAAATCAAAATCTCGAATTTAGCTTCAAATCTCCAGTCATCCACAAAAAATCACTGATTATCAGAAAGAGATTGACAAGAGGGAAGAGGGTGGAACCCAACGTGGCAAACACAATATCAACGTACAATTCGATCGGCAACTTGCAATGCATCAACCCTTCAGAAGAAAATATCATTTAATCAGTCGGACGAAACTGAATTATTTGAACAATAATAATGATAATCACGATAGTAATAATAATGACAATAATAATATAATAATAATAATAATAATAATAACAATAATGAACAGAATCATAGTAAGGATGTTAAAACGAAACTTTGAAGAAATTATACCGAAATGAAGCTGCACAGATAAGCAAACAAATAAACACATATATATGTATGTATACAGATATCTATTTATAAAATATGTAATGAGTATTATACATGTATGCCATAAGAAACGAATATTGATAATAATAATAGTGACAATAATAGTAAAAACCGCCAATTACATAGTACAATAGCATACTGGTGCAATGGTTATCAATGGCATATTTTACAAGAATTACAATTGTAATTCGAGCGCTAAAAACGAAACATTTCGCAGTAACTCCATGAAGTCAATGATTAATTAACTGATAAACGTTCCGTACACAACACACCGCTCATTGCGCATCACCTGGCTGACTGGCCACGTTTGCCAACTGACTATCAAATACAGCACAACTGCCATCGGATGATGCACATAAACTTAATTCTTTTCAGAATTTTACACCAAAAAAATCACTCCACAACTCGACTTTTCCATGTTTGTATAATCTAGTACTTAACAATTTGACTGAATATTACTTTCTTTTCGGTTCTTTATTTCTGAAAAGTTTCTTTGCTTTGACCAAATTACTTGAGCCGTAACACTTCATTATTAGTTGTACCGAGCTTTCGTAAACGAAAGAACAACAACTGTAGTCTTGTGCGATAGTAGCTAGGAAATTCGGAGAACAATTGATTTAAGGGAAAAACACGCAATACAATCCACAACCACAATTGATCCTATTTGAACGAGAAACATCCAAAAAAATATTATATTATGGTAATTTAGATGGCAAACGGCAGTAATTTTGCAACATCTTCTATAAGGATATATCTTCATCGCTACAGATTGGAATAAAAAACCTGTTAGCATAGTACAGTACTCAAATATACCAATCTAGATTGAGTTAAGAATTTTTTACATAGTCACAAAAACAACAACAATAATCAAACGGATTCAATGAAATTTGTTGTTCGAGTGAATCAAATTATGAAAAACAGACACAAATGAACGTTACGATGTGATGTGCTTGAGATTAAAATATGTTTCAGAACAATACGGCGCAAACCGAAAGAATGGATCTATGCTTATTTACTATACGCATAAATACATATTTGTATTATACATGCATTATTAACTAAATCAAATCAATCAAACACATTCCAAGAAGGAATGAGTGTGCACGAATGAAGGATGAAAAAAAAAGATGAACAAAAAAAACAATAAAAGACAAGAAACACGCATTTCTTTTTTGAGAAAGCAAGCGACACCGAAAACTATCACCTTGAATCGTTGAGGTAGACTGAAGGAAAATATATATTAATAATGATGATTCAACTGCTCTGCTGCCCAAATCGCAAGCAATTGTAGTCAGCATTTGGTGATCACTGTTTCTATGAAAATTTACGCTCTCATTTCCAGTTATTAGCAGGATAACATCTAAACGTCTGACGGTCCATTCGATGATCACTTTCGTATTCACAAGAAAACAGTTCAAATTGAACAAAATCGCTTATATGATTAATCAATCAGTTGATCGCTAAATTTGAGACGACGGAATTGATCACATAACTATGTTCGGAAGCAAGATAAGCGTAGCCGCTGAGTAATCATAGTTAATGAAATAGTCGCTGGAATGAAAACGAACAACAATTAAGGAGCAATAAATTTTAGATTAAGATTTTCGATTGGATTCGATCAATCTAGTACTTTCGCAACCCGAATTTATTCCCTAATCACTGAAAATAGTAACAACCCAATATGCGATCAAAAAACAACGTCACGTAGCATGCATAAAACCTCTACCAGTCAACCATCACGATTTAATGCTCTTTTTATTATTGTTTTCCTGGCTGCTGTTGTTGCCAATAGCACCACAAACGTCACCGTTGAACGGAGTCCAAACTCGGATCGTACCGTCGTCGGAGCATGAGACCAAAATTTGAGGATATGTGGGATTCCACGCGACTGCATTCACTTTGCCAGTGTGACCAGACAGTTTGGCTATCAACCGGTCGGATTTATAACTCCAGATATACACTTTACTATCTGCAAGAGAAGCATTAAATGATGCGCATAAAATACTCATCATGATCACAGTTGCCTGTGCGCTAGTAAGATTACTCAATTATGATGAGAAGTGAACTAAACTGAAGTCATCGAGCAATCGCATAAATCTGGGCAATAAGCAAGCTGATAAACAGAAAAACGAACGTACCAACGGAACCAGTAGCAATATAGTCTTGTGCCAGGCCACCAAAAGTCGAGAACACAACAAAGTCATGATGCGGTGCACCCGTATAAGAATGTAGCAACGTACTCGACTCTAAATCCCATAAGCGGAGACCATGTAACTTCGTATCGATCAATATATGTTGTTCCAGTTTGTCGACGACAAAATTAATAATTTGACTTTGCTCCTGTATAAGCGTTTGATCGAAATCGTCACTGAATCGATAGCGTCGTACCCTAAATGACACAAAATAAAACAGACGAATATCACAATAACGTTGGAATTTATGCTTAGAAATGAACACAAAGTCAAAATAATGATACCTATTGTGAGTATCAGCAGCAATAACGGTTCCATTTCTGAGGCAGTGAATTGCTCGAATTCTGTAACCTTCGAATTTACCACTTGGCTTAGCTGAATTATCCGAGAGAACCTTAACAAGATAATAATAATGTTAGGAACAGTGAAGTAGAGTAAAGATAAAAGTAAAAGTAAAATAAAAAACTTGACTCCTTTCGTAAATTAGAACAAGAAAGCAAATAGCAAAAGACTAACATATTGGCAGAAGTGACCTTTCTGATCGGCACATACAAGTTTATACGGTTGATTACCAGCAAAAAATGACAAAACCGTATTGTCGTTACCACGATTGTCCAATGTACAATAAATTGCGCCACGGTGCACATCATAAACGTGCACGTCCGTATTTGGATCCTCAGCGGATGCGACTGCTAACAGTTTTGAATCATCACTCCAGCAAATTACTGCTGTATTTTGACTACCTGAATGAACCATATTTCATCAAATTTGCAATTCAATCAGTCTTTCTTGTATAAACTGCAGTAATAATAATAATAATAATAATAATAAATAATAATAATAAATTATTAATTATATTCAGTATTATCATCACCATCATAACGTGTTTTATAATAGCAATGAAAGACAACCTCCGAATGACTTATATGGCTCTAACGTTCTTTCATTCACCACTTTCCACACCAATGTAGGGCCACATTTAGCGCCAGTGGCCAAAAAATTGCCACCAGGTGAAAAGCTGGCGCACCATACTTCATCTTGATGATTATTCAATACCTGCGCGAATTATCATAAAAATTGATTAGCAGTTAAGCAGTAGTTTTGTTTGCGGCAAACAGTAAAATGAACAGAATGAGTAGCATATAAACGGAGAAAAACATACAAAAATACATTAGCAGAGAACGGAATATAAAAACAACAAGCTACCTGAGAAGTGAATAACGGGAAATCCTCCCAACTACACTGATGATCCTCAAGAATAAAATCCGGTGATGGTCCTCGTTGCTCAGCCATATGAAGATAACATTCACGTGCTTGCATTTTCCATGCTGCAAGCAGTAAAATGCAAGTGAACTGTGAAGATGATAAGGGTATGACGAACTGATACGAAAAACGATACAGTAAATAAATAACAACAACATTCCAATGTTACTCATTTCATCTGATAGTCAATAAAGATAGCATCAGCAGAACATACATTGCTTGAGTAATTTTTCAAGACGTGATGGAGGTAACATCACTGATGTTGGCAATAATTGCTGTATATTGCTAACCAAAGCGCTCCTCTCTTGCCGATCTCGATGTGCACCAGTTTTTGAATATATGTCGATCGTCTGAAGCATTAGCAAAAGCAATAATAGCCATCAATCTATCAATGAATCAGCTGTCACTATTCCAATCATTTTGCGAGTATTCAACGCAACAATCGCTGTTTGGTTTCTTTGCAATGACAACAATAACGACAAATTACAAAAACAATTATGACAAGAAGTCAATTCTTCAATCGTGACAATGATTCAATCAATCAAAAACACTTTCACTTACATTGGGATCAACGTAAAGCAAAGTTGCCAAAAAGTTGCGCCGATCTGCGAATGCGTCGTCTGATGGATAGTCGACAGATAGCAATCGTAAGGCTTGAACAGTCTGAAACAAACAAACGATGCAATCATTTCATTTGAGGGTCGAATACTATATTACAGATATGACGGTGTTTTGATCAGCTTGTAACAAAACCGAATGAAAAGCAAATCCCATTCCATAACACGACTCACTTGATCTTTGGTGAGCAATTCCACAAATTTCTCTTCCAGCAACTTAACACGAATCCGTAGCAGACTTGTTCGCGACACATACGGTGACATTTTGCCAACAATATGTAATGCCAAATCCCACTCACCATTCAGTGCACACTCACGTAAACGTACAGCTAACGAATCCTCAAGACGACACCCACTTTCAGCAAATAATGTTGCTACTGTTTCCCTTGAAATTCATCATGTGCTATTATTATCAAGAGATATCTGTCAACGAGTGAAAATATGACCCACAACGGGGACCCATCGTTACTATTATAATAAATTACGGGGACTGATCCTTTCCGGAACAGAAGCAATGTCAAAAGCGCAGAATAAAATACAGTACTGAGAGGAAAACATGTCCCGACAGTACGATCAAGAAGGTGCTACATGTTAATTCAGTTTTTTGTACGCATTCGTTCCAAGACGACTTCTGATGAACTCGCGATTATTATTCCAATAAATCCTCCTATTGTGTCTCTCAACAAATTCCCTTTAAGTATCACTGATTGGCCACAATGTACACAGCAACTTCCTGATTGATAAGTAATAAATCAAAATCAATCAATTATTGGATCAGTGAAGGAATAAACAAACGATAACTTAGTAACGAACTGCATGCCAAGATTTTTGAGATATTGTCCAATAACTCTGATCGTATTCACTTGAGTACTACTTAAGGATCGAGGAGATACCGGTGAGATGGTCGATGCGTAGTCGTTGGCTACTGGCGAACGACATGATGCAGCAGAATTTTTTGACGTTTGCAATGATTCCTTCAGAGTGGATTCCTTGAAACCATTCATTTAATTCTTCATTTGCTTCTTCGCCGCTATCAAATCAATGGAACATTCGGATGACACGAAGAGAAATTCAAAACAGTAAAATGATGAATGATGATCTTGATTGAGCGTATTTGGATCAAAGCATTACAACTGCTCCAAAAGTAATTCGATGAATGAAAGAATTAATTCGTTCGTTGATTTCTTACTTACCTTAAGACGTTGTCCAACAGACTTTGAGCTGCTCTGTTGCACTCCGGCTTGCATTATCCTTAAACGTATGTAGGTTATAAAATAAGAAGAAACAATGTAAAAACTTTTTGAAAGGACAACGCAACGACTACTATGATGACAATCATCATAGCGCTGTAAAAAAATCAATAATTGAATCATAAATTTAAGCAATTATAAAAAGTTTTAAAAAAATCAATCAATCAAACATACTTAGCCTTTTTGGCTGGTGGACCTTGGTCGGCGGCAACCGGGTCCGCGTTTTCAGCGCAGTGCTCCACAATGCCAGTGTTTGAGGTAGTGGGCCTCGATTGTTCGCTCTAAATAATATTAAATGATGAAAGATAAATGGTGCCGCTAATACTGCTTCTTAATCAGTAACGATAGCAAGAAAAAACATTATGAATAAGCAATTTGTAATCACGACGAATATGAATCAGTACGCCTGACTGTCTATTACAAAAAAATCGATCAAATGGAATTTTCAGAATTATCTATAAACTGAAAAATCAAACAGTAATGGAGTGATGTATCATGACGAAACAAATACGTCCAACACACAGATAATAACTGAATTCATTAATCAATTGATCACAAGAGAATAACAACTTTATATATTGTTTATAAATAGTTCGTAATGATGAATATGGGTATGCATAACGATGAATAAATACGAAGATACATAGGCAGTGAGCGAGCAATTCCACAAAAATAACAGCAATTATCATGAAATAGTAAATTATCATTTCATGTTAATGAAACAAACATCTGAAGGACAAACCATGAACAAGTGGAGTATTTTCGAGAAAAGTGAGAGTTAAGACAGGAATGACGGATTGAATGGTTGTCGAAGCTGTTGAGCGTGTTCAAGAAGCTAGAGGTTAAATTGATCGATGATTCTAGCAGGAACTGAGTTTCCTGAAGCAGATGAGCCCTAATCTCCAACTTACGAAGTTTACAATGAAAGCGTTCTTCGACCAAAGTGAGCAGCGAAACAGAATAATAGCTGTAGGTAGACTTGCCACAGCGAATCAATCAGTTAGCAATGAGATACGAACCTTACTAATGATAGTGATGCGAATAATAATGAAAATAACAACAATAGGAAAAACAACACCAGAAATATTATCAGCAGAAATAATTATATTAACAATAATATCATTGACTAATGCAGAAATAAATGAAAAGGTAGATTCTAGCGCGGTCGACAAACTATCTAATCATAGCTATTAATCTATTCCATGAAATCAATTAGCCGAGCTTACAACTAGCTTACAGCCTTACAACTAGACAAAAATATGGCACCGGCAAAAACAGCAAAAAAATTCAAGGAATAGATGAACTGAATCGCAGTAATCAAAATCACACCTCCCCCCTCCCCCCGTAGAAATGATGTGGTCAAGAGAGGACTGATGGATGATTAAATTTCAACTTTCAATGTGATTTCTAATAAAAATATTCATAACGCCACTAATATCAATAACAATCACAGTCGCAGTAATAATAATAATGATAAGAAAATTAAGGCACAATCACGCAACCCATTCCAACTCAGTCCACGTCCTCATAACCACAATCGTTCAAACCAATAAAATTAAACTCAACCAGCCAATTGCGCGAGGTGATTAACACAAATGAATATTGTCCGCTATAAACAGCTGTTTGCTGTGGCCCTTTCGATAATCAGTTCAGTTGTTACGCGACATTTTGGCATAGCACAATTTTTATTGCATCATGAAGACAGCTAGCCGCATGATGTGAGTCACATAATATTCAAGCGCAATCTTGAAAAACCGTAATAATTTTTGTGGAAATGTTGCGCTAGTTGGCGTAAGCGAAAACAACACTACTTTACTCCTGCTACTAATACCTAGCACGAGCTTATAATTGATCAGCCGTAAGAATCCTCAAGCACATCGAGCCACGTCAAGCATAAAACATCATCATCATTAATAATATGCGTCTACTTAAACGGTCAAATTAACAACAGCATCAGCAGCAGAACCACCACCCCATATCATGAAGCACACAAAGGAAAAGGAAAAGTGATGACAATGATGATGATGCTGACGATGAATAACCAACAACTTTTTTCCAGATGAATAGAATGATGGATGGAGTCACGGAATAACAAATGGATTATAATACTAGCATAACTAACGTCTTCGAGGACATTGACGATAATTTTTCAACTAACATCATAATTTCTCAGTTTGATGATAATTTCAACGAATCACCATACAAAGTCATTCCTGCATCATCAGATCAGCATCACCATCAATCCATTGTAAAAAGTTGAGCTAGCCGGAGCTAATCATCAACAATCAGTTATTCCTTCCCCTACTACTGATGTTGTAAACGCTACTCAAACAATCAATGTTCAACTCGGGCAACGACGAACAAAACAACACGGGGATGTAATGAGGTCACACCCGCTTCGTGCAAAACAACTCACTCTCCAAACATTCGGCCAGTCGTCTCGGTCCATAATTCGAGCGGTGCTCAGCTCAGCTCATCTCCCATTAGTTGCTCGCTGCTCGCTCGGTCGCCCTGGCAGCAACACCCCAACTAACCGTCAACAACGAGAAAAGAAAAGGCTTAAGCAAGTCGCATTTCATACGAACAGACACACTACAAACTGCTGATAGATGTACGTATACACATATGATATTTGTTGTTTGTAGCAATAATTCTGTGTGTGTGGTATCTTATATAAATCTATACTGCTACTTGAACGAACAGATGCATGAATGTATTACTGAACAGCGAGAGGAATAAGAAGGAAAAAAAAGGCGAAAAACAAGAGGAATCCAAAGATACCGTCAAGGTTTGACGAGGAACGAATGGAGATAGATGCAAGGCAGTTTGAGGCAAGTGTTAGAGCAAAATAAGATAGGAATAAAATGATCATTCATTGAAAGCATCAGCATCAACAGTATTCGGTTTGCCCGATTAGCAGACATGCGAAAGAAAATAATCAAATCGGATGGATATTAGCTGACAAGAGAGAAATAAAGTAGAAAGAGTGGAGGGATGAAGGGAACGAGAGATGAAACGAAATAAAATAAAACATGAAATGAAAACTAGTTGAGAGGAAAGAAGAACGAACATACATGATGAGCATTCGTAGTGCTCGTGGTGGTGCAGGTGAACAGCTGATTGTTGTCGCATTCAAGGCGAGCGCCGACTACGAGCAAATCGTAATTTGTTGAATGATGAGGTGAATGGCCGCGATTTGTTGTTGAAATAAAATGATGGCTATCAGTAAGTTGATGGTGGCTATCATGATGCAGTTGCTGGTCGTGTGTTTGTAATTGAGATGTTTCGATGTCGGCACTGGTGGCAGCAGTAATTGATCTTTGTTGTGTTGACTGAGAACAGCAATTTTGATCGTTGACAGAGGATGATGCAGCAGCAGCAGAAGCAGATTCTGAATAAGAAGATGACAGTTGTTGTGGTGAAGTAGAGCTGGACGGTGAAGAAGCAACAAAAGATGCAGATGGTGGTGAACTGCTCGAAACTTTAGGTATTCGCGATGATATTTCTTCTTGTTGTTGTGATATGAAGCATGAACACAGTGACACTGAGGATTGTTGCTGATTATTACTGTTCCGACTATTGTTGTTATTAGGATTCTGATGAGGATCAGAACAAGATGGCGAAGAAGGAAGAAGAGTTGAACTTGCTGCTGCTAAAGCTGAAGTTGTCTGAGATGGTGACGGAGGAGAGTAGCAGGTAACTTGTGTTGTTGATGATGATGAAGAAGCCTGCTGAAAATGATGATGGCGATCAGAGAAGAAAGAGGTTTTAGATGATGAACTGATACTATGTGTTAAGGCGGTGATATTGTCGTTGATTGAACTGATAACTGGTGATAGTGTTGCCGTTAGTTGAACTATACTGTTACCAACAGCATCAATAATAGAATCATTTGAATGTTGCTGCTCTTCATTAAGTTGGGGTTCTGATGAGCCTTCTTCTGGCGATCCAGATTCGGATGAGGAGGATGATGACGACGACTGACTCGATATGCCAGTTGCCGATGATGTTGGTTGTGCTGACATTGGTTTTACTATTACTGCTGATGGTGGTGCTATGTAAAAGGGTGCTTGTTGATGGCAACGATCATCGGATGAGGACCATGAGCGGACGGATGAATGACTGTCGAAAGATGATCAGAAGAAGGAAGAATTATGAATCAATAAAATCTGAAGAATTAAACAAATTTTCAGTCTTCAAATATTTATTCACAGTTTCATGTAACTGGAAAAGTGAACAGTAAGATTCGCACGACCAATACACACAACAACAATATAAAATGAAGAAGTGCTTTTGAAGGCGTCAATTTTAATTTGAATAATAAAAACGAAGATGAACAATGGAAATATAACTTAACGTTGACGATATGAATGAATAAAACATAATGAATGTTACGAATGATCACATGAATGCACAACAATTAGAGAATAAGTGAAATTTAAAGATAAATTATATGAATTCAAGATTGGAACCAAATCCAAAATCAAAATTAATGTTGAAAATGCGTCAATCAGCATTATTATTATTATTATTAACGACAAAAACAACAGTAACAACAATAGTGCAACACGTCAAGTCAACTGCTGCATGACTTTAAAATTATGATATACAAATTTTTAACCTCTTATAAGTATTGTATATATAATTCAATTATGCCGTTACTGGTTAAATATCATTACTGTTTTGGAAAAAAAACAATAACGGTTACTACAGTTTCTCTCTTACTGGGAACAACTTACCGATTTAGTTCTACTGAATAAGGGAATAAAAAAGAGAATAATATTGATAATACTAATAATAAAATGAAGACAAAGTGGTTCACTCACACATACATATTGCATTATACCAACAAACATCTAATAGCCACCGTCTATCATAAAAACATAACTCATCAGCAACACGAGGGATTGGCTGCTTGCAAGCCTGCAATAGCAATAAATTGTAGTGCCCACTCCAAGTCTGTTCTTTGCAAAATTGAGGAGGATGACGTTTGGAAATAGAAAAGTTCAAATCAGAAGGGGTACGGCATGTAATGGGACATAAAAAAGTATAACCACCAATCCCCCCCCCCTCTCCCTTACCCTTTCTTAAATGTCACCTGAATGAATGGATACGCATTTATCATGGATAATATAATAGCACGTTTGAGCAGCATTGTACAATACGATTTATTAGTGCAAAGGGGAAAAGTAAAATAATGATTCCAACATTTTGAGTAGCTGTTAAAATGGAAGAAGTGCAACATCAACACGACGACACAAACACGTTGTTTGCAGTGGTTATTACTTGCGAAACAAAAGAATGAATAGAGGATAGGACAGGACGAGGATGAAGGAAGATAAAAAGATGATGCTGACGAGACTGATCACAAAACGAGGATCAGCTTATAGTAAGATTACCCACTAATTTACAACGATACCGCTGCAGATCGATGGATATTTACAAAATTCTTATTTCTTATTGATTCAGTTAGCAGAAAAAACAACAGCAACAAAATTATTATGCAAATTGTGTACCTCTACACTGCACAAGATAACAACCATTAAAACTGCACAGTTACATATTATATGACTGGCTTTCTTTCCAATCTAAAAATCAATCTCATTCTGCAGTTGTATGCGGGCATTAAGAACACACTCAGCAGCAGTTTGTTTAGCAGCTTTAACTTAGCTCAATTCACTTTAGATGAACTGAATTATTCGTTTGTAGTTGTGGTTATGGATTAAATGAACGAATAAATAAATACATAAGAGGTTTGATTCACAATGAAGAAACGATCAAAATTTGATAGGTAACATGAAAGAATGTGATGCTATACGGTGAAATGCATAGATCGATCAAAAGACGGAGGATGAAACGACCGAAGGAAGATGAAAATGCATCTGAGATCTGATCGAATCGGACATAAATCGTATCAATTGATCAAGGAGGAACGAATGACCAAAATCGAATCACATAAGAAAATGCGTACATAAATAGATAAAGAATCAATTACTACATTTCTACTGGAAGAATGTCATTACTATTGCCATTCATTTTCACACGATCGTTTTCATTAATTTCATTATTGAATAAAATGAGTTGCGATAGGCAGCAGCACTGCTCTAGCACCAGCATACTGCATATTCAAGTTGAATATATTATAAAGGTGATAGTCAACACACACCAAATCATATCAACCTTTCGCAAACTATACAGCATAAATAACAGACTACAGCATCAATTTCATGAATTAGTGCGACCTTTTCTTATCCACTTATTGCATATTACAACATTGGACACGACACATCATTACCGCTTTCAGCATTAGGAATATTCCCTTTCGCTTAATTCGAACTTCCTTTTTTATCTATTCATTCATTACCACAGGAAGCTAACTTCATTTCATCTTCTTTGAAAAGCAGTACTTACTTCTTCACGAGCTATTTCTGATTACTTCCGTCCACTTATCTATTCTATTCGATTTGATCAAGCAGCTGGCCAATCGTCCCATATGCTTATTCATTCTTTTAAATCGTTTCTCACTTAGTTTTTTATTCATTTATATATATTTTTTCTATTTTTACTTTGGCACACTTCTAATAATTCTCATTTATCATCTTTAACTGTACCTTAATTCAATCAAAAACCAACATATGCAAGTGCCACAATCTACGAACACAAATATCACATTGCAATTCGTACATCTTCTATATTAATTACTCACCCATCTCATATATTCCTAATCAGAACACAATATCGTTAAACACCACCAACGTTATGTCATCGGCCAGTCTTCATCCGGCATCATTTCTAATCTATCCCTTCTTCAATTTCCGATAAGCCATCTGTTGGCATGGATCATCAACAGCAGTTAACACCTTATATTGCCTATAATAATAACCGTACTTCAGCAGAAGCGGAATATAACAGAAATGCGTAACTAGCGGTGATGCGATGCCAAACCATCTTACGACGGGGATACGATGCATATGAATAGTGGATGCATATGAAAGTGCAGCGCACAAAACCGTAAACAACAACAATAACAAATATAACAACAGCACATACGTGGTGTGCCGTTGATTTACGTTACATCGATTCATCCGCATCATCTGTCTAAAGTATTATTCATTCAGTTTATTCATTTACAATCAACTCACTCAGTATGCTGCTTCGTAATGCGTTTAGCCCATACTCCATACACTAACTTCACTGTGTGTACGATCACCAAATAGAGCATTATATAGATCGTTGTTGTTGTTGTGAGTTGTGTCCTGTCCATTCGTCCTGTCCTGTTTATTATTACTGTTGTTATAATTGCTCCGACGAGTGGCTGTCCGTCCTTCCCGTCGTATATATGCCATTTATCCATGCATCCAGTTCCAATATGATTATCCAGTCATCCAACAACCAGCCATCAAACCATGTTCGTATCAAATATAAAACACACTTCCTATTCATTCATCAGACTCACACAATGAATGTTCCAATCTGAACTGTATACGTATTCCTTCTACCTTCATTCCACTCATATACCCCTTTTCTAGCATGCGCAAATTCAAACGCAATATCCTTCTCATTAAAGCTTAAAGACAACTCGAACAAACGATTGCCATCGGGCAGATTACGCACTGAACGACAACGAACAAACGGATACCAATTGCATACTTCATGGCTGATTCTATTCCTCAACCTATTTATGTTCTCAACCCATGGCTGCCGTCTGTCACCTATCACCTCTCTTGTTGATTGATCAGTTATCAGTAACTCGCGTTAAATGAGGTAAGTGAATAGGCAGCAATGAGTAGTGCTAATAAAAGAATGGGACGAAGGAGAGCTGCCTGCAGTTATGGTGAAGCATGAATACCGTACCGAAGTGAATTTCGTTCGTTTTTAGATAAATGAAAGTAAATCAATGAATGTCAAATAATCATCTAGAATTTTCCGCACCCTCTGCAAAAATTCCAAAAAAATCACATCAACAGCAGGACTACATTATCATCGTTATTGTCCTCTTTTCTAACTAAATTTCTCCATTTTATTCAACAAATATCTTGTTTCGATTCCTTGACCAACTAGTAAATGCATTGATGCCATCTACTGATAAACTGCACATCATAATCGATCTTCCATCATCTATCTGTTCTGCTATTGTCCCAAGAAATTCGACTTACGCTTCGATCATTAATTGGTTTCAGGTTCTGCAATTAATGACCGACCGATGAGCGATATGATTCGGAAAGTGATGACACAAGTCAACGCATAATTCATTTCATTCCAACGGACATCGTGGTATAAATGAAATTTTTGATCCTTGCACAAGTATGTTGCCATGAATGCAAATTCCACAACAAATATATCGAGAAGGAACAGAAGAATTTCGCAAAAAGAGAGCAGAAATGAGACAAGACGATTACTAATTAGAACATTCATTCTTTATGAGTAGAAACGACAAACATCAGAAACTTCATTCCTTTCGTCTTTGAGTGATTTTACTTGATTACACTATCCAGCAAAAATATTCACTGATATATGAATATAAGTCAGTTTTTTGTGTACATTATGGAAATTGAATTTATTTTTTATTTTCATAAACGATTTTTTTCCAAAAAACCCATTTGAAATTTCCCACTAATATGAACATATACATTTGTAAATCAACAGATTACAGTGGCCACTCAGCCAGCAACAAGAAAGTATCGACTTATAAATAATTGTACATGTTTGTACTCGTAGTATTTCGAACGGAATATACACAAAATCCGTCCACAAAAATAAAACAATTTCGTTTGCGTAATCTACGCGAAAAACTGGTCTATTCGTATGCTAGCAAAAACCTTTGTTGGATTGTTTCAAAAACAGAGAGGGAACTGTGATTGTCGATGAAGGGAATGGGGGCTGCCGTCCTCTTAAAAAGGACCACAGAGCGTAAAGCAGAAGAACCACTGATCTAGAATGTGCATAATGTAGCGTTAGGTAAACCGCGCCTTATTCTCAAATTTCGTGCGTTATCTTACAGTAAAAATATTGCTGTTACTTAATATATCATTTATACACAATCGACAGAGGACAGTACACGATGAATACCGCAACTCTGCTGCTGCTAATGACGATACCACTTACTGATGGGTACTCTTTACGTATTCCGAGTGAGTTGTTCACCTTGATAAGAACGGATGTGTTAGTTCAAATAATAATGGTAATACAATCTATCTTTCATATCCGAACTCTTTGCGTTTTAGTCCGTTTGGATAGCGATAATTATTCTTTGCATTTTGCCAACATCAAACGTGCGGCAAACGTTGATGAGCCTGAGGGACGAAAACGCGAGCATAACAACCGATTTTCTGTAGCAATCGCCTAGATGAAATACTCTTTCAAGAAAATTAATCTTCTGTTGCTTTACTAGCATTTCCCCGTAATACTATTTGGGCTCGATGTTTTCGGCGAGTTTGAATGCTCTTCGCTTATTAAACAAGTAATGCGGAGACGTTTTGTTTTTATTGAACCCGGGCCTCTTTGTGAGGTGACACGTAATAACAGTAGTTTGTCTTTTGATCGAAACACACGTTTCCATATTCAGTTGTATTATCGAGTGCATTACCAAATTTTGTTCATTAACACGTATTAACTGTTTGGTCATTGCCAACTGACGTATTTTATCCTATCTGCAAAACTTCCACTGTAAGTCATAAATATCTGGAAAACGCGCATATTCAGCAGAATAGGAATTAAGCAAATTATAAAAGTACTTAGTTTTTCTTCTTAAAGATATTTGACTAGTCATCATCAACTCTGTTCCCCTTTATTGATAGAATCGAGTATGAACGGCTTAATGTACACATTTGCCTGATTACTCGACCGGGGAATAGACTGTCTAGTAATTAACTGTTTTCAGCTTGAGTTGTCATTTGTCGTTTGAAGTAATAAATTGTCGTTCTCATTTTTCACTTCCATCCAGTCGTTTAACAATTTCTCGAGCGTTTCGTCGAGTCTTTTTTGCTGTTGTAACGCAATCTGCAAATGATTTATGAATGAATGCTGGCATTTTGTGGAAACGACACCTATGACACAAATAAAACAAAATTTAGGCAATTTAAACGAATAAAAAGTTTCTCTGTCTATAACTTTGCTTCCTATTCTCATAGGAGTCGTCAATTTTCCTCTCTATCCCAGGCGAAGCGAGATATCCTCCCGGTAGGGAATTTGGAAATCACAAAGGGAATTGAAACGCTTAACAAATCACTGCTGATCGATTTTTCTTCCCCAACTGTTCAGTTTTTTTTATTGCTTGTTTGAACACAAAGAAGCGATTACTTTGATCTGATATCAAATTTGATGAATTGTTGGCAATAAACTTGTTGGACAATGAATTTACCTCTATGATTGATAAATTGGAACTAATTGTTGTTGGAGCAACGAAGTGAGAATTGCGAATGGAATGTACGGGTTAATCACTGCTTTAACGCATCAAATAAGCATCAGATGCAATGAATGCGCACAAACAGCAAAATTCTTGACAAAAACGCAATAACAGATGATGTCAAAGTTGAAGTGGAACAAATCGAAATGTGAATAAACTTATATAATAAAGATGATGGCTGCGTATCGAGACAGAATGCGGATATCAATGACACTGGAATTCCACTCAAAAATGCACAAACAGATCGAATAAAATCTAAGCTCACTTGATCATTCAGTTCATCGATTTCACGATTCAGACGACCACACGCTTCTGTTGCCGAGATCACCCAGGAACACTGCTCGTGAATTTTGACGAGCAATCGGTAAGCTTTTTGCATCGTCACATCTCGTTGTGTGTCCTAGAATCAACTGCTTGCTTGCATATGCTAATGATGACAAATACCTTATTACTATATCCATCATTAAAGTTCCGTCGGTTTGAAGACGAATCATTCAAATAAATTAATTTATATGACTTCAGTGATGATAAACAATGGCAATGATTATAATAGTGGTGAAATTATCGTAAACATCTGCTTCCCACTTACTCGATACAACTTCTCTTCGACAACTGTAAACGTACGATCTAATTTGCCGATCAGTGAGTTGATCTCTTTTTGAATTTGACGATTCTCACTATGCACCTGCAAATATCACTGATTAACAGCGCAGCTAAAAGAATGCATTATTCTGTCAGCTAAATTCTCCGACAAACATGCACATGATAGTGAATAAATAATAAAATTTTGTCGTTTATCGCACTGTTCCAAGTAGAGCGAGCAACCGAACGAAGAAATTTGTTAACAGAAAAGGATCGGTCAGCTTAAAATTTAAGCACTGTCTCCAAGGCAAAGTTTGCTACAGGATTAAGCTTAGACTTATCTCAGGGCATGTACAGTCTATCTAGCTACTGATTTCCACGGATTTGGAGATGGATGCGATCTTTATGGACATCTCATAACCATGTATGGACCTATTCAAATGTTTGAATGTGAACATCACTCACCTCATTGATTTGTTCTTGTTGTTTACGGATGTTGGCCACAATTTCGAAGATTCGTCGCGTATAAACGCTCCGATTCAGTTGCGTATCATCCTCTTGCTCCATTCGTTCCACTTCACGCTTCTAAATTTCTTACTGATTTTTTTCTTACTAACATGCATTTGCTGCTGCTGATACCGTGAATCAAACCAAAAACAAAAACAGCAATAATCATGTTGCTAAAAGCAGAACCGCTGAGAGCATAATCATCTGTTTACGTCCATAGAGCATCAAAAGACGTTCAATATCTAAACTGAAATTATACACTCTCCATTTTCTTCCTCACAGACCAACAATTCATCTGTCAATAGAATCTGATCACGATAGAATATTATTGCACCATTATGGCGCTTGAGAGTTATGCAGCTCATGGATGGAGCTCATTCAATGGAACAGCGAACAGAATGAGATGCAATCAGCACATTAGTGCATTACTAGCCAACAAACAGTCATTAGTAAACAATAAAAACAAACCAACCAGTTTCACGAGATGTTCTTCTTTCATCGATAATTCAGCTTCAATTGCACTTGCAAGTTTTTTCATATGTCGCGTTTCACTAACCAATTCAATCTCGTCGCCCTGTAAAAGTTTATTCAAAGTTTTGCGTAAATACACGAGTAGTCATATATAATGTCACGGATCATATTCGCAGTTCAGTTATACTCTTATTTGGATAAAATTCACGATGATTTTACGACTACCTTAAATATGGAATACGGAAGTGATCCTAATAAGTGAAAGGAATATAATCCTGTGGATATACATGAATATTGTTCGACCATTTAGATTGAGATTAAAGAAATGAAATAGCCTCGTATCAGTCTCACCAACGTATCGTCGTCGCAATCCAAACGCGCCTGCCTCAGCTGGTCATCTTTCTGCTGCTTCGTTGCAATCCAACGGTTCTGTAAACTCTCCATACGATCCTCACTTTCTTCGATATATTTCTGAAGGTGAAATTTTTCAACCGAAATGTTAGAATTCAATCATGGATTCTTCATCAGAAACAATATTAGCATCAAAGACTAATTTTTTTTTAAAAATTCGTTTATTACCAAGAAGTGTGAAAATGTAAAAGAAATTCTAAAAAGCGTTCAAAAAACATTTTTGCTATGACTACATTGCTGCACGACACCGAATGAGTTCATATAAAATATGATCGACATACCAAGAAGCTCTTCTTTCCTTCCATCGACTTACATAAAGCAAGATTAAAAGAACAATCACTGAGTAACGATCAAACGAACAAAAAAGTGGGCAATCCCTAGCCCTATCACTCACCGTCAGTCTACTAATCGTTTCGGGCTCATCAATCAGCTGTTTTATGCGTGGATCAAAGGCCAAACTCGTATCTTGCTCACGTAACTGCATCAAGTGTCGCAGGTGTTCCTCTTGCTTCTTTTTCATCTACAACAATTATTACTCTTGTCAACTTAGAAATAATAATAATAACAATAACGATATTATTAACAAATGATAATAAATAAATGAATGAATAGTGATGAATGGAAGGTGAACAAATTATGCTCATAATTTATGATTTCATTAATCAATAAATCAACTCACCTCAACTAGACGTTGTGAACGTATTTCAATGGCTGCACGATAAGTGGTACATTCTTCAGCGACCACGTTTAATCGACTCTTTATTTCGGATAATTCTTTCATTTTCTCCATAATTTCTTCTTTTTCTTTTCGTACAACCATCGCTTCACCACTGAGTTCGGCTGGTTTCGGCGGTATGGACGGTTTTGGTTTTGCACTGAAATGAACAAGATGATTTTGGAAGGGAGGTGGGCAGCAAGTGAATAAAAAACGTTTCAGATGGATTTTCATTGTTGTGTGGACATAGACGGAACAACGACTGAAGATGAAGAGTGAAAGGGAAGTGCAGAGGGAAGACCACACAAAATCGGCAAATTAATAACAAGCATAGGTCGTGAAGTTTCCAGGAGAGTGAATTTCAAAAAAAAAAGAATGGAGAAACAGATGGAATACGAATATCTAGATGGTACTCACTGGACGGGCGGTTTAACAAGTTGTTGTTTTCGATGTTGTTGTCGTTTGCCATCAATAATACGATCAGAAGAAGGCAAAGTGAATGCATTCATCAGTAATTCTTCAAAGAGATGAGCATTTGCCATCTTCATATGAACATGATCGGTGTTCATTGCAATATCGCTCAGTGAGTTTGCCTCTAATGAGGCACACAAAACTGAACGACCTCTGGCACGCGATTCCACAAATTCACACGCCGTTTGCACATCACCGTTAAAACCGCGAAATGTGGCTCGTCTTGGAACACCCTTTAGAAACGATTCACGAATGTTGTTTTACTTCTTCACTCGCTTCAAAACAGCACAAAAAAAATTTCGCAAAATTAACATAAAACTAAGTTTTCAAATTACGATATCGCAAAAACAAATTACAAATTACGATATTTCATACACACTATCACCTCTGTAATCGTGCTCATTTCTGTTGCTTCATAGCCTAATAAACTGTTAACATCGCTGATGCTCATTGTGAACGAAGAAAAACTTGCATTATTATTATTAGTAAAGGAGATAGACATGTTATGACTAACCCATGACGGATGCCAGGCATTTTGAGATGGTTGATAAAAATAATATTTGTTGATCAATGAAGGTGCTGTCTCGCTGATACGCAGTAGATCCACGGCACTCTCAATAAGTGCTGTGCGTGCATCTGAACGACACACAAAAAATTCGACACTGAATATGATGAGTGAAGCATTTTTATTATTTTTTGGGTCATAAATGAATATCCTCTACGAGTGATGATCATTGAATGGATGATTAATTCTTGAAAAGAATGAAAAATCGCCTTTCTCAATCTATTGCACAAGCAAGCAACAATCAAAGCCCGCTGCCATAAATAAATTAAACATAACCGAATATGAATCCATTAAATAATCGCAACATTTATCAAACCAACTGCTCAGTGACGAATAATCTATTTGATGATTAAATAAAGACCTTTGTTGCTAGCTGTTATGTTCATCGGCGATTGCTTCGGTAACTTTTCGATGAGACCGATGAGTACGTTGCGTAACTCTTTTGACTGACCGTACAACAAGCTTTGATAACCAATTTCATCACGAACGCCAACATTCTACAATAATAATAATAATTGTCACTTAAATGAATGAATTTAAAGAAAAGAAAACCTGAAGTGCGTGATCACTATTTCAGATCAGCAATAATCATCTTAACTACTTTCATGCGTATAGCTAAAATGATATTTGAAAGCATCAATCACCTCGATCAGGATTATTTTCCCGTATAATAATAATGAATCAATAAAGTATTTTAAAAGCATAAATAAAATTAAGGAATGTAAATGCAAACAATAAATAAGTGCATACTACCTTAATAGCGTCAACAACATCCGTTGCATATCGATATCTTGCCGCCATACCATTGGGCAATTTTTGCGAGATTATTGTCGATCTACAAAAGTGAAATTATAGAAAAACCGAAAAAGAAAACAAAGAAATTGAGCCAACAAAAATGAATAACGATGAACGTAATGATACTGATGAGATAAATTTACACTTGATGATCATTGGATGGATAAAAATTTGGATGAATTTCTTCAGCAAATCGAGAAGGGGTAGTTTTCGCAGCTATTCAAAACATCATTTGTTTGGTTATGCTGGCTGGAAAAAAGTGAAGAATTCGGTGATAAGTAATTCTGATATTATCTGATGTTTATATGCATAACAATGTTTACATGCTACTACTCATACCGATGCCGTATTTTCTACTTATATCTTTGTGAAATGCGACAAATTCATATTATTATTGTAGCTGTAGTGAATGTTCACTGAACGAATAGATATGAAACATTTAGCACAACAAAAAGTCAAAACCGAATTGAGGCTGAATCATACTCACTCACTTCAGTAACGGATTACACGACCATAACAGCAATACAATCGCTGAAAAAACTTGCTCTAAACTCAGTTCGTCAATTCTTCGAGGCGGCAATGACTCAGAATCACCGTTGTTATCATTGAAAAATGATCTGAAAAAGGTGGTAAAATTCATTTTCGCTCTCCTTCTGCATGAATTATAATCGTAAAAGATACAAAATATTCAATGTCATTTTGTGCTAATTCAAATTATCGCTCTTATTAGCAATACTTTTAATCAAAGCTTCATTAAGTTTTATAAAAGCCGTGAATTAATCAATCGACCAATCAGCCAGCTAACTTGTCCAATCGGAGTAACGTATCCACGATGAGATGATCCACAAAGTCTAGACTCATTATGCTGGTAGTTTGCAAACGCTTTAGAGGGGATTCCTCGATTAACGCCCCTTCGTCACTCGTTCAACGAATTAATTCTGTAGCGAAAACCCAGCGACCAATGCAACCTACACATTTCATGATTAAAAATTATGCAACGGGCGATTTCACCTCTAAACATCAAAAATGTTGTTGAAATCAAAATGTTACACCGTTTCTGGCACTCCCATGATAGATACGCATGAATGAAGCCATATGTAACCAACCATTTATGCATCTATCATATTGAATGCAAACCAACAAAACATCATTTCCACTTTAACAATCTCAACTACAAAACCACCCAAACATCGTTATCTTCATTCAAAATTGCTCGCCCTTTTCGTATGTAAGCCCCCTGACATTTACCCATTAGTGATGGCACCCGATCGACGGTCGCTCGGAAAAATCTGACAAATGTTGGTGTGAATTCCGACAGTAAGAATAATGAAAAATCATGTTGGTCTGATTAAGACCGACATGATTTTTCGCTCAGATGTCGTTACTACTTGCCATCCATTTCAATGTATTAATCGAGCATTAAACCTCTATCCCTGTCTCATCGACTTAATAAACGTAATCCAATAACCATTTGCATTACTACAGTCACCATCTGACCTTTTCTTCACTGCTCATCCTTAGCATAAACTCCTTCAAACGACAACCTCCTTAAAATCTCATCAAACAATTAGGGAAGGGACTGACTCTCGATGCTGTTCGACTGAATTTTCGATGCGCGTCAAGCTTATAAAACTGCCAGTTCTATTAAAATACCCTTCCCACTCCCCATACTTGTCACAGTGATATAAGTAAACGTTTCATAACTCATAACATAGATATGTAAAAACCAACGTTGTGGCAAACGACCAAAAAATTTTCGGGTGATTAAATCGACAAAAAACTACTGAATTTATGATCAAAAATTCATTATTTACTTCTGATCTAATAATGATACCAACAATAATAATATTACTATTATTCACAATCACTAATACCTTCGAAATGCACAATCGTTCAAATATATAGATAGATAACAGATATCGTACAACATAAAGCTTAAGTATCACGGCACAACAAAATTCAAACCCAGAAATGACAATGATTGGTGATGCATAAAGCATGAAAACATGAACAAAAGCAATATACTCAATAACAATTCAAAATACCGCCTTCAATAACTGACTACAGAAATGAGATGATATAAACGTGTGAGCCAAGAATCCCCAAAAAGCAAAAACAAAAGATAACAAAAGCACCGTAAACGAAAGACAAACCAACGAAATGTGCAGTACATTACACGTGATATGTCCATACTCTATGCTATGGAATACGGTTAATTATGAAATGAATGACTGATTCAATATAAAAGCAATAAGCTGAGCAACTCTTTTCGATGGATACACGAAGACGAACAAAATCCATCACAAGATATCCTCATCACCATCATCCAATAAGGCAGCAGCAGAATGGTTGAGACAAATATTCTTACATTACGAAGTAATTGCGGAGAAGAACAAAGGCAATGAGACGCATTTTCAATACAATTATTTTCATTTATTGAGGAGACGCTTTTTTTTGAAAGAAATTCATGAACATTTCAAACAGAAAAGAACAACAAACAACTTCAAAATGTGAATATAATACCGATCAGTTATACAACTGCTCCACGTCGTATTCGTTCATTTTTTTGCGGTGGTGCTAAACTCTTCGATCGTATCGGATGTGAGCTCGATTCGCTGGAACGTCGACGTCCAGTCGTTACTGACCCAGATCGAATCCGTTCACGTGGCACTGTTGCATTAGTATATGAGCCACTATTGTTACTATCCAGAGTTGAATAGTACCTTAATACATAATTTTTAAGATTAAATGATTTTTTAAAAATCGAACTGATCATCTAACTCACTTATTAACCGAAACCGCACGTAGTGTGTTGTAGGGATTTGCCAAATATACACTCGGCTCACGACCATGCAATGAAAGTGTCGAACGGCCGGGAACGCTGAAGAAGATAATAAGTAACCTATCTACCAACATTCATCATTATCCAGAAACTATTCATTTTGTTTTTTAATTGTTATTATTGATTATCAAAATTATTGTCAAAACTAAACTAATAATAATAATAGTCTTAATAATGATAAAAATAATAAACCAAACTCACACTGGCGGATAAAGTTTCAGTTCAGATTGTGGGTTGTACATGGCTGATTGCGCATAGCGATTCTCTAGCACCGGATATGCGGGTGGCGGCAAAGGCATATATGGTGATTTCTCATACACTCCTGACGGTTCCTGAAATTCGATTATTGACTTTTTATCTTTTATTTATCTATTTCACTCACTCAATCCTACATAATTTCGATTATTGTAATCAAAACTTCATTCTGTCCTCAAGCATTATAACAATGGACAAAGACCAAATCCAATATAACCATCCATATTCAGTGACAATAAATACGTAACAAGTGTCGTTTTCATTCAAACGATCATCTCTCAGTCTTATGAAATGTGGTATTTTTGTTGAATATCATAACAAATCAACGAATGATTCAAATCAAAAATGCAACATATTAAGCAACAAAATGAAATGATATGATGAGTAAAAAATCAAATAATACCAAACTAGCGAATAACCTTAAAATATCGCGTCAGTATTGTAACTCGAGGTGCTTCGTGATGCTTTCGAACGTTCGTCGCACCGCATAACTTTAATTTTAAGAAACATAAACTTATAACTTTTATAAAGCAGTTTGCTTTGCTGAAATTTTAACTGCCCAGCATTCTGTACACAGTTCATAGTTGATTAAATTAACTGCTTTCGTATTTCACCTTTTTTCACTTGGTTCATATGCACAATAATGTAAACATTAGACAAGCATAAAGTATGCGTGTTATGTGGTCATGTGATCGTCAGTCACCTCTTGGACTGAACAGAACCGTGCTCTCAGGCATTCGACGGCTAAGCGCCTCAAACGAGAACAAACTCTCCGCAGTCACCTCATTATATTTCAGTCAGCATTTCTGATCACTTATAGTTTTTACGACTGAAACTCAAGTTCTGTTTGGATGTTGAAGAAAAAATTGATTCCACTTTTACGTTTCATTGAAATTATTCCACGTTCCCTCTTGCGAATGAATGTGATATGCGCAAACAATTAGAAGCTTTCCTTCATATCTATCTATAAGAAGGCAACGGTGCGAGAGGATCAAATAATCACAGATGGACGGATGACTATACGTAAGTCGTCTATGAGTATTCTTTACAAGACTAAAATTAACACAATTATTTCAAACAAACAAATACGCATAAATGTAAGTGAACGCGAATATTTGTCGGTATGTGCAGAAAAAAAAACGGATACGTTGAATGAAAGAGTATTAGGTTAAAATTACTCACTCGATGTGCAGATAATGAGCAGATCAGCGCTGCAAATATGAGCAATAAACCGGAAGTCAAAAGCAACGGTGCGGCTAGCTGAATTGGATTCGTCGAGAAATGTATACCAAGACCCGTATCGAACGTCCATAAAATCGGCGGACTTTTCACGAAGAAATATCCCAAATAGAGCATTAAACCGCCGCCGAGCAGTAAAAATATACCAAATGCACTCACACAAATCGCTGATGATGAGCCACGAAATTTACTGAAAGCTCATCATCACTCAGCTTACTCATGATCAGACAGCCCATATGCTATCTATCGCTAATAAAGGATGTAAATATGCTGAAGAACAAAATCAGTACTGAAATTCGTAATACTCATCGATAACGGAACCTTACACTGCTCAAAATGAGTTATTGTAAATACTGATTAAATAAGTAAATACTGTACATTATTGACAGACAGGAAGATAGTTGTTTTAGTTCCTCAAAAGTCAACTGAAAGCCTAGGTTTCTGTTTTCCTTCGAGAACATCATAGAATCGAATGCAATTACTAACGATAACCATCATTTACTGGCATTAATATCGTGTCTGTCTAAGACCACCACTCAGTAGCAAAGTGGTGTCCCTTCCACGCTCAGAGAACGTATAATAATACACGGGAGTTGTCAGGAAATGGCAGTTGTCTGAGTTTCCCACCAGACCACAGCCCTTTGTACAAATGGGTTTTGCGCAGTTCAAAGCCTGACCGTTTGCTAGCGAGTGGTTGTTATTAATTTCAAGTAGAAGGTAGCTTTAAGATAGCTCCACCTCAGCAGCCTAGAGATGAACATATCAAGGCCAGCCTATAGATGAACATTACTGAGGTGCATGCAAATAGCAAATAGATTTTGAAAAAAAAGACAAACGAACAAAAAACTGATTGGAATATGGACAATACGTAAGAATACATTCTGAGGTTATTAGCTAATTCCGGCTGTCAAATTCACAACAGTAATTCGTTTTCAGAAAAAAAACTAAGTTGAGGTATGTTGGTAAACATACGTGGCTCGATAGGGAAAGAAGCCGAAATGTGCCGGGTAAAGAATATCCCATCCTTTTGGATAATAATAAAAGAACGGATCACGTTGTGCCATCGGACCAAAATGCAGAACACGTTGGTTA